TAACGGAGAAAAGTCTTTACAAAAATTGTTTTCCCGCATCCCGTAGGACCGCAAACGATCGACGTCCAGGGATGTTTCCAGCGCACGTCCATTTCGAAGACTGTGCAAATTGCCGCTTGTATAACTCTTAAATTAAACTGTTTTTGGTTTGCGATGAGCTCACCATCGCGCGTTGGTTCCCGCGGCGGCCGCGTTTTGCCGCGAAAATCAGCTAATTTTCGTCGCGGCAATGGTGAGCTTATTCCGGATGATTGAAAAGCTGTTTCCATGAAAAATCAGCTTATTGTCGCGCGCGCAAAAATAAGCTCGTCAAACGCACGCGCCAATATAAGCTTATAGCTTTTTGTTGAGGTTATATCAAAAAGTTTCTAAGGATAAAAGAGATGGGGAAAAAGCAATCTTTTAATTTTGTTTTAATAAAAATTTAATAACACTAAAATATTACGTTTTACAAAATGTGTACATATTGCTTAATCTCCTAACATTTATGGAAAATCTCGCATTTTATAACCTTATTTTTACACACAATTGTTAAAATAACTTATATATTTTTCTTTTATTGTACAAAGCGCTTGCTTACATTATGACTTATTTGGACGGAAAACATATACATATATATACAATTTTAACTCTTATGTTTAAAATATACAAACTATTTACAAGAGAATGCGCGAAAAAAAGTCTTATTCTAAGTAGCCGTATGGAACAGAGCGTCGCTCGTCGATAAATCTACGCTTCAGCAAAACCGGCGAGCAGATTTTTGATTCGTCTCGCGTCACAACCTCGTGAAACGCGGTGCGCCGAATCGCTCTAAAATGCAGATTTATCGACACATTTTCTTCTTTTCTCTCTCTTCTCATTAACATTTCCCTAACGCTATTGAAATTAATTATGCGGGAGGTTGCGGAATTGAGAGTTATTCCCTTGATTTTACACACCTCCCGCGCGCCACTGTCCGGAGTACGAACTACGTACGCGTAAAATTTCGGGCCACCGGATACAAACGACTCGATGTAACTACCACAGCCGTAGCCTTCGAGCTCGTCCGTCATATCGCCCAGGAAATTTCCCGTACGCGGTTCGTATTCGCCGGGTTCTCCGCTGCTCACATAAATACACGAATCTGTATCGTAATAAAGAACGCGCTCGCTTAAACGTTCTAAATATTCGTACAGTTTCAATCGCGCCTGTGCCGTCGTGTACGCCGCTATTATCACGTTGGTAATCGGAGAGGGTACGTCCGCCTCGTCCCGCATTCGCCACGAAACATATATTACCTCGTCAT